TTCCAAACAGAACGCAGATATTTGTAGAGTCATCTCAACAGTCGAGCTCAACTGGTTCTTTCATCCAAATGAGCCCAAACACGTTCTGGCTACGATTTTCCTGCACAAACGCTCCACTTTGGAATCTTTCTGGGAATACCTGAAAAATACAAATATTCCAGCTCGTCTGTGAGCAAACATACCTTCTGATGACATCAAGTCCTCTAGCAGGTCACCACTCATGATCTCTGTCAGAGGAACAATAACATCAAGAGACATTTTTAAAGCACCAAGTCTGCAGGAGAATGAAGACAAGCATCAGCAGAAACTTTCCTAAGGAAACGTCAACTTCTGCAAGAAGCCAGAACGTCACGATCTGGGAAATATTTCCAATGCACGCTTTCAATGTGCAGCAACGAATAATGTAGCTAAGCTGAGGAGACGTTTACCTTTTGTTGGGTCAAACATTTCAGAGAAGTCGAGCACTGCAGAGAAAAGACAAAACGGTGTTGCAGTCGACTGTAACCAAACCTTTATTGCACCAAAATGGCAGAACGGGGTCAACACTCACACTCAGATGGACCCGACTTCATTGGTTCGAATCCTGCAGAGGCAGAAGACGCCGCGGGGCCGTCCAGAGAGGCGGACGACTGCAGCTGCTGAGTAACTGCAGCGGGCGTTTCGGTTGTTGGGCTGAGCGCTGCGGTGGCCGTCACCTCTGAAATAAAGGCAAGAATCACACAACAAAAACATAGTTGGACATAATGTTGGACAAAATGTAGGAAACAGTGTGGCTGTTGAGAGAAAAGGTTTAGGCGCTATTTGTTACAACCAATTTTCCCCGTGTGGGACAATTAAAAGATTACTCTAGTCTCCTTACCCGTTGCTGTCTGGATGGCCGATGTGATAGGAGCTGTTTTTGTGGGAGGAGCAACAGCTGTTTTAGGGACCTGAAGAGGAAACAAACAAAGGTGGTCCAGTCCTCCAGTATAAGATCACTGTTCTTGTTATTGGCACTTCAGACTCGCTAAACAAAGAGAAAGTGATATCTGTGTGGACCTGTGTGGTGGCAGTGGGCACCTGGGAGGTAGGTGTTGGAGCTGGGAGGTTCTGCAGGACGTCATCTGGAGGAGGAACGGGCAAAACAACGGGGGAGGCACTGGAGGGGTCTTTATTGACCAATAAAACTTCAATGGGACCAGATGTACTTTTAAGACGGATCTGGTATTTTCGCTGGCCGTTGAGAACCTGCACACACGCACAGTCGGAGACATGAGCGAAAGAACCGGCCCCGAGAGCGCAGAAGAAAAACCACTACAGACGTCACTTACAGATTCTGGTATGGGCACCTCTAGCTGCGTGCCTATTGGAGCACGGATGGCGAGGAGAGTGTCACCTGTGGAGGGAGGGCAGGGAGTGAGAAAAGTTGCTTTTGAGTGAAAGAGCGAAATGCCTGCAAATTCAAGCGTGTGAAACTATTACCTTTAAATGCTCCGCAGAGATCTTCGTGTTTTACATAGGCCATAGTATGAGTGTGTTAAGTGCAGCAGCAACCACATCTGGCACACAAACTCAAGTGTTGTCAACACAAACACTAACAATGACTGAGACATTTAATGAGGATTTGAAAGAGTTCAAGTTTAAGCTTGAAAGAAAAAACCTTACATCTGTAACTAAACTGCATATTTATTAGACACCCTCAGAAGGACCTTGTGACATCATTAGGAGACATTAAAAGTCTCCTTCTTGGACCACGGAAGAAATGCTTCCCCTGTAATTCATACTCTCTGAAGACCTTTGAACACTAATATACAGGGTCATGGTTGTCTTTCATTATGCTGCAGCGACTGTAGTCCAACCTACCAGTCAAAGGTTTGGACACGCCTGTTCATTTCATGGTTTTTCTTTATTTTTACTACTTCCTACATCCTCCAATTTCCTCAAACTCAACAGTAATAAAACTGAAGTTTTACTTGTTGGGACACCATCTATCTTAACCAAATCCCACAGCTTTTCCATTAACATTGAACGTTCTCCCACCCTCCCTCCCCTCAGGTTAAGAGTTTGGGTGTCATACTTGATAATACTCTCTCATTCCAGTCTCACATTCATTTCATAACCCGGTCTGCTTATTTCCATTTACTTAATATTAACCGACTCCGCCCCTTCCTCCCCATGCTGCTGCCGTCCTTGTCCAATTCCCTCCTATTTGATCTCCCTAAAAAGTCCCTTCATAAACTCCAACTTCTTCAAAACTCTGCAGCTCGGATCATAACTCTACTCCGTTAAGTGCTCATATTACCCCAGTTCTTCAGCAGCTTCACTGGTTGCCCATAGAAACCAGGATAAACTTTAAAATCTTACTTCTCACGTTCAAATGTATCCATAAATCTGCTCCTTCATATCTGTGTGACCTGCTCCATATCACCACTGTTTCCCTCTCAGATCATCACTGTGGGGAGCAGAGCTTTCAGTCGCTCGGCTCTGGAGCTCTCTTCCTCCTGCACTAAGAAATATTGACACCCTCTCCGTATTTAAGACACAGCTCAAAACACACCTGTTTAAACTGGTTTATTCACTTTAATGCTGATTTTATCTGTTGTCATGCTCTGTTTTGTAATTTTAACTTATTTTATGTATTTTATGACTACTGTTCCTTTTATTAATTGTGTTTCTTGTAAGGTGACCTTGGGTTTCTGAAAGGCGCCCTCAAATAAAATGTATTATTATTATTATTATTATTATTATTATTATTATTATTATTATTATTTTATATAAATACTGAAGACATCAAATATATGAAGCAAGATTTATGGAATTATGTAGCAAAGAAAAAGCTGATAAATAACTCTAAATGTGTCTTATATTTTAGATTCTTGTAAGTAGCCGCCCTTTGCTTTGTTGACAGCGCTGCAAACACTCGGCCTTCTCTCAACGAGCTTCACGATGTCGTCACCTGAGATGGTTTCACGCCACAGGTGTGGCCTGTCAGGGATCATTTGTGGAATTTGTTGCCTTCTTAATGGGGTTGGGACCATCAGGTGTGTTGTGCACAGCTGACAGCCCTGTTAGGATTCATATTATGACAAGAGCCAATCAGCTAAGTAAAGAGAAACAACAGCCCATCATTACTTTAAGAACTGAAGGTCAGTCAGTCCAGGAAACACTAAAACTCTGGATGTGTCCCCCAAAACCATCAAGCACTACGATCAAACTGGCTGACATGAGGACGCCCCAGGAAAGGAAGACCAAGAGTCACATCTGCTGCTGAGGATACATTCATCCAAGTCACCAGCCTCAGAAATCATGAAGAGCAGCTCAGATCAGAGCCCAGATAGATGCCACAGAGCTCCAGTAGCAGACACATCTCTACATGTTCAGAGCAGACTGTGTGAATCAGGCCTTTATGGTCAAACAGCTGCTGAGAAACCACGACTAAGGAAAAGCAACAAGAAGAGATTTGTTTGGGCCAAGGAGTGGACATCAGACCATCTGTGGTTTGGTCTGATGAGTCCAAATTTAAGATCTTTGGTTCCACCTGCTGTGTTTTTGTGCAAAGGTGAAGCATGAAGGAGGAGATGTGATGGTGTGGGGGGGGCTTTGCTGGTGAGACTGTTGGGGATTTATTCAAAACTGAAGGCAGACTGAACCAGCATGGCTACCACAGCATCCTGCAGCAACATCCCATCATTTATTTTCAACAGAGCAATGACCCCAAACACACCTGCAGGCTGTGTCTGGGCTGTTTGACTAAGAAGGAGAGAGATGCAGTGATGTGTCAGATGGCCTCCCCTCCACAGTCACCTAAACCCAGTGGAGATGGTTTGGGATGAGATGGAGCGCAGAGTGAAGGCAAAGGGCCAACAAGTGCTCAGCATCTCTGTGAACTCCTTCAGGAGACGACCTCATGAAGCTCATGGAGAGAAAGCCAAGAGAGAGTGAAGCAAGAATCAAAGCAAAGGGGCTGTTAGGAAGGGTCTAAAATATAAAACATGTTCTGAGTTAGTTCACACTTTTTATCCTTTAGTACTTAATTCCAGTGTTCATTCATAGTTTTGATGCTTTCAGTCAGAATCTACAATGTAAATAAAAATAAAGAAAAACCAAACTATGCCAACACCCACAGCTGGATCAAGTCAGATCTTTGGCATTGCTCAGAGTAACATTTATGAACCTGCAGATTATAAAGAACAACAAAATAAACTATCACAGCTATGCAGATGACACACAAATATATATCACAATGTCACCAGGAGACCGAGGCCCTGTACAGGCTCTTGGTAAATGCATTGAGGAAATTAATGACTGGTTGTGCCACAGTTTTCTCCAGCTAAACAAAAACAAACTGAGGTAATAGTGTTTGGAGCAAAAGAAAAACGATTACAGGTCACCAGAGAAGTTCAATCTATACACCTAAAAACCACAAACCAGGAGAGGAATGTGGGTGTAGTGATGGATGCAGACCTAAACTTAGAAAAACACATTAAGACAATAACAAA